GGTGGCCAGAGTATCGGAGCTTCAGCTTCTGCATCAGTCCTTCCGATGAGTATTCTGGGTTGATTTCATTTAGGATTGACTGGTTTTTTCTCCTTTCAGTCCAAGGGACTCTCAAGAATATTCTCCAGCACCAGTTGGAAAGCATCAGTTCTTCATTGCTCAGTCTTCTTCATGGTCCACCTCTCACATCCATACATTATTGATCCAATCATCAATAATATTGCTGTTCATCAGCAGTCACAATATCCCACCGATAGGAGATGCATCTCTCTGGGTGTGAACACACATCCTCTCCTCCCACCCCACCACATTCACTTTCCAGCACAGGTAGCCACACACTTCCACCACATTTTTTTTTGCTCATTCATTTTGTTTCTTGTTTTGATATATTTTCAAACATACAGAGAAATGGTAAGCCCCTTCACCCAGAGACTCCCTTCACATTTTGCTAATTTTCCAAACAATGTCTATTAAAGAAAGCAAAAGAATCAAGTCCTGGAACATGCTCTGTGTTTAGATGTTTCAGTTGAGTATCCATCAAACCAGAATAAATCCTGCTTTGACCTTCATGAGCTGGGCTCTTTCGAAGAGTACAGGCCTGTGGTTTTCTGGGACATTCCTGAGTTGGTTTGTCTGATGCTTCCTCAGTACTGGGTTTGGGTTCTTCCCTTTCCACTGCAGTATCACAGCCGCTATGTTGTGTTCTCACTGAATCTCTTGCAGTGGTAAGTAACATCAGTCTGTCCTGTCCCTGGTTTTACCAGCCTTGATCCCTTGAGTAAAGTGGGATTTGCCAGGTTTCTTCGGTGTAAAGTTGCTGTTTTTTCTTTACGACTAATACGTGTTTTGTGGGAAGAGACTCTGAGCTGGTGTAAATATTTGTTTCCCATCTAAATTTCATCCACTAGTTTTAGTATCCATTTTTGTTTCTTGCCTGAATTAATTCTGACTTAAATGATCGCCTAGCAGTGATTTCTGATTCAGCTCTTCCTTCTGTATTTGTAAGTCAGCATTCTGAATGAAAGGCATTCCCTTCTCCCTACTTATTTATCCACTTGCTTATTTATATCTCTGTGGGCTCTTGGATCCCTCTTTTGTTTGATGAGTTGTAAAGGGCTTCTATCAATATTTGTTTAATAGTCAAATGTTCTTAGAACTGGCTAGGAGAAGCCCCAAGATGTGTTTTCTGAATGTCCACACTATTCTCTGAGCACACTTGTACTTTTTTGGTATAACATGATGTTCCAGATTCGTCTTGTACTTTCTGTCCCAGCCTGGACTCAACTGTTTCTCAGCGGTGCCCTGAATCCTGTGTTTAGAAGCCAAGATCTGGATGCCTGGTATGCTCCATGGAACTGGGGTGGTGTTGCTCCCAGACTTTCACAGGGAACAGCCAGGAAGTGTATTTAGCTACATACATGCACAAAGGTGTGTGCACACATTTGCCTCCGTATTCATTCATTTATCCATCTATCTAAAACCATAAATTCACACCAACACATTCAATTCTAAAAAAGCACCATTGGGTTCATTCTAGCTTTCCCCCTTTTCAAATTTGTGACTCCCTTTTCAGGAGTGAAGAACTTGACTCCAGTTTGCCTCAATATATGTATGTGTATGATCAGTCCCACTGTAAGCACAGTCTCCTGGCTGTTCTTTGGGCTACTTACTTCATGCAGCCCCCATCATAAATTTTTGCTACCATATTAGCTAATCTGTTGGCCTTTGGTGTAAATACTGATAGTTTCCCCATGTTAGTTCATTTTCCTTCTGTTTGTCTGTCTGTGTGCACACACATACACACATATAAGACACTGGCGATGTAATGGGTTATGAAGAGTAAGAAAGCACTGTTTTACCCCAGGGGTATAATCATAAGCTGATCTGTTATGAAGTAAATGGACTATGTCTCCAACCAGTGAACAAGACTGTATTGATAGAAACCACTATTATTTGTTGCTTTCAGGATGTAATTGCTCTTCAAAGAACAGCAATAATTAAATGTAACTTAATTCTTCCTTATTGTGGATCATCTGCATGATGTTCTACAATACATTCTAATAATTTTATTTATTTGTTTATTTATTATTCTTGCCTGTGCTGGGTCTTCACTGCTGCCTGGACTTCTCTAGTTGCGGCAAGTGGGAGCTACTCTCTAGTAACGTGCGAGAGTTTCTTCTCATTGCTAGTGTCCTCTCTGGTTGCGGAGCACAGGCTCTAGGGCGCACGGGCTTCAGTAGTTGCAGCTCCCAGGCTCTGAAGCACAGGCTCAATAGCTGTGTCGCACAGGCTTGTGTTCCTCTGCAGCGTGTGGAAACTGCCTGGACCAGGACTGAACCCATGTCCCCTGCATTGGCAGGTGGGTTCTTTACCACTGAGCCACCTGGGAGGCCCCTACAATACTTTAAAAAATATAGTCTAAATTCAGTAACAGTTTTACAATTCTTGAAGAAAAGATGTATAAAGCTATTAGTTTTTCACCAAGGAAATTTTTTAAAATAAAAATACCTGAAAGCAAAAGAGATTCACAGGATGCAAGGAAGATTAAAAATATGTATATATATTAACAAATAATAAAAAATGTTTGCAATGTGTTTGCAAAGGGTATGCAGATGACCAAGCCAAACCTTTACATTAGCAGAGCACACTGTCAGTGTATTTGCTGAAAAAAAAAAATGCATTGAGATGCTCAGAGTTGCTAGACAGCACATGGCCTCCCCATATTGTTGTCACAATCTGAGGCATAGTTCTGCGAGAAGCTTGCTGGCCGGATCCGGCTTCACTGTTTCTTTGTGATCCAGTTGTCGTGCAGTGATTAGACGGCTCTGTTCTGCGCTGCGATGTGTACATTCACATTCAGAAGGCAGAGTGAAGGATGGTTCTTGTTAGTGAAGCCATTGTGTTGACTCTTCACAACTCTGTAGCTTGTATCATAATCAGGGTAAAGTTTCGGCTCTGATGATGACATACTTTGACATAACGTGTGGTCCTTTCTTCTCAAGATTCTTTATGAAATTGATGACCCAGGAGGGCGAGGACACCTAAATGTTTTAGGAACATGGTTAACTCCACAAGAGCGATGGATAGCGAGGCTTGTAACCCACGTTAAATGCTCTCTTCTCTCCATGTTTTTCGGCCTCTGCTCCTAATCCAGGGTGGTGCCTACCTTCCAGACAGACTAGCAATTAGAATGTGGAGCTTTTATACCCGATGGTTCAGTTCATTCATTCAAAGAGTACAGTAGATCCTTAACAAGTTTGGATTAAACTTCTGGACAAATAACAAGTGACCTCAGGTATATTTTTGTTGTTGTTCAGTTGCTAAGTTGTGTCTGACTCTTTGCGATCCCATGAGCTGCAGCATGTCATGATTCCCTGTCCTTCACCATCTCCCAGAGCTTGCTCAAACTCATGTCCTTTGAGTCAGTGATGCCATCCAACCATCTCATCCTCTGCCACCCGCTTCTCCTCTTGCCCTTAATCTTTCCCAGCCTGAGGGTCTTTTACAATGAGCCGGCTCTTCACATCTTGTGGGCAAAGGATTGGAGCTTCAGCTTCAGCATCAGCCCTTCCAGTGAATATTCAGGATTGATTTCCTTTAGGACTGACTGGTTTGATCTCGTTGCAGTCCAAGGGATTCTCGAGAGTCTTTTCCAGCACCATGATTCGAAAGCATCAATCTTAGCACACAGCCTTCTTTATGGCCCAGCTCTCAATATCCATACGTGACTACTAGAAGTATATTTTGCTTTGGGACAAATTCATATATGGGGACCTGTCACTCATTCAATGGTAAAGCAACTTAGCAGACTCTCCAGACTGCAGCTAAGTGCAGCGGTACCACCTCCTTCTGCTGTCACGGTCACAGCCATGTGGAAAAGCATGTGCTTAGTAGTAGTCTCAGATTTCCTCATTCATAAAGCTCAACTGTCATATTATTTGATAAAGTCAAGGGTCCAACACTATGATACTTCTCTGCCCTTGTAATCCCAACAGTATTTTTGAGTAGGTGGATTGCAGTTTTATATTGAAATGGTTGGTAAATTATGTTGCCTTCTGTTTAGTAGTTTCCCTCCCTCCCTCCCTCCCTCCCTCCTTTCTTTCTTTCTGCCTTTCTTTTATTTAATAAGGCTCTTGATCGCAAATCCGCAGAAAGTTTGTTAAAGAGTCACGTATGTTCTTTTATATTAGTTCAGTGCTCCCATCTCTGTTTTTTTCTGGTACTTACTTGGCTTCTGTTTTCACTGTCACATTTAACTACAGTACCAGTGGGCTGTAGTTATAACTGTTATATTGTTATACCAATAGTCGAAAGACTTTGAACTAAAAATCAGCTAGGAAAGCTACCAGCTGAGTTTGCATAAACTTGAAACTGGGGGTTCAGAGTACCTGTTTCATGAGTATGTTGTACATGTTGAAAGAAATAACATAACAATGCTCGTCACAAACGAGACATACAATAAAGACAGATAAATGTTGGAAAGTAAATTCTGCTAGGCAGGGCTTCCCTGGTGGCTCAGACGGTAAAGAATCTGCCAGCATTTCAGGAGACCTGGGTTCAATCCCTGGAAGATTCCCTGGAGAAGGGAATGGCAACCCACTCCAGTTTTCTTGCCTGGAGAATCCCATGAACAGAGGGATTCTCGCCTGGCGGGCTACAGTCCACGGGGTCCCACAGAGTCAGACATGACTTTCACAATAGCACAAGGGATCTTTGACTCTTAGGTTCACAAGCACCTGATATAGCCCCTGGCACACAGTAAGCACTCAGTCAGTACAGGTCAGCCACTGTCCTCCTTCTGCAGCTCTCGCCCTCAATGCCCTGAACATTGAAGATAAGTGATGTACCTAGGAAGCATACAATAGCAGGTCTGACACAAAGTAGGCGATTGAGCTAGAATTGGATTCGGACAGCGTTATCATCAGGTGTGTGATGGGTCTGCTAGCACTCTCGGGCAGACATCTTCAAAAGGCTAAAGGTGTCTTGTTCTGTCCCCTCAGGCGTCCTGTTTTCCCTGGTGGTGATGCTGTATGTCATCTGGGTCCAGGCGGTGGCTGACATGGAAAGCTACAGACGCATGAGAATGAGAGACTGCTTGGACTTCAGCCCCTCTGTGCTGTATGGCTGGGCCTTTTTCCTGGCCCCGGCGGGGATTTTTTTCTCCCTGCTGGCTGGGTTACTGTTTCTGCTTGTTGGACGGCACATTCAGATACATCACTAGTCAGACTCCTGCCTCCAGTGTCTCCTTGAATGATTTTAAAACAGAGCCTTTTTTTTTTTTCATTTTGTCTCCATGATCCTGGCATAGAGTGAGTTGATGTAACTTGTTACTTGCTATTTGAATTAGCCATTGTGATTTTCTCTCATGAGAGGGTCCTAGAATCTCTCCATGTACTTCAGTCCTGTCTAAGTGCCCTCAGGAACCTAGTTTGCAGGTAACATCAGCCTCATCCCTTTCACCATACTTGTTGGAGTTTGCAGGTAACAAAGGCCTGAAAGTGCAAAATACCATCACCAGGGGCAAATCATGATTTGATTTAAGCCTCCCTCACATTCACTTCTGCTGCTCTTAAGAAAAATTCTTGGGAGAGTAATTATGAACAACAAACAAATGTTGTCAGAGAATTAACTCTACTTCTCTCTGTACGTAAATATCCACATATACAGGTACCAGCTCCTGTGAGCAGATTATTCACCACTTAAAAATAGATCAAAGTTGCTCCCTTAGCAGGAACCACACAAACTCATCAGTTAGAATGGGCCCCCACAAAACCAACCTGTATTTAATTCTGCTTTCTTAAGCAAAATTAAGTTTGGTTATGTTAAGTTATTCACTTAATTGTGCATGCTTATATAAATCTTAAGCTATATTTAAAAGAAGCAAATCTCTATACCAAATCACAGATAATGCAGATTGGATTTTTGTGAACTGAAAGTGGCTTAATTGTATATGGAATATGGTTGAAAGTATGTAAAAACCAAGCGCCTGTGCTTTGTACATAATTCTATTTGATATTTTAAAATTTCCAGCTAAAAATTATATTGCTAATCTGTCCAGCATGTGAAGATTTACTGATGACATGTGTTTTTAATATGCACTCACTATAAACGTCCAAAATGCTTCCAGATGAGGGTGATAATAGTCTTGCTTTATTAAAGACTATGAAATATTAACTTTCCCCAAGATCTTATGGGTTGTAGCTCTTCTCATCATTTGATGCCCTTCACTGTTGACTCTCCCTGTCTTCAGCTTTACAGCAAGTACATTAGCATTTACAGATCTGCTATTTGCTTTAACCTCTTGGAGGAAAACTTGGTGGGGCGGGGCGGGGCGGGGTGGGGTGGGGGGGCATGTAGGAATGATTATATTCACTAGAGTAGACATTTTGCATATCAAAGATGTTTGTTTGGCACTAGTTTTGATGGAAATCACATCCATCTGAGAAGCCTAGGTCCAATCTGCATTCTGGAAGCCCCCTGACAGAGGACTCGCCTAGTGAAGGCTGCCCTGCGTGGTGTGTGGACTGACGTGTTCCAGACATGGCGTTTCTCTCCGCAGCGGCCACGGACACCAAGGGCTTGAGCCGGAGGTGGACGAAAGGGTGGCCCCTCAGAAGCCAAGCCTGGTGGGAGCAGAGGCGCTGGTCCCCAGGTGCCTCATCCCCAGTCCCAAGATTGTCTCTTCTGTGCACACCTTGGGCTTTTCCTTTAAACCTGGTTTACTGGGAGGGTGCTCTGGGGAGAAAAATGAAGGTCTGAGGTGTGTGCAGATCACAGGGCGTTTTAGGGGTTACCTACCGACCGGACTTTCCTGTTAAAAAAGAAAAAGAAAGAAAAGACTTCAGGGCCTTAACTGGTTTCTCAGGCGGTTTCAATTTTGTCATAAACGTTTTCCTCGTACTTTCCTTTGTGTTCTTCTGTTTCATTTTTTATATTGCTTCATTTCTTTCTTTGCTTTTGGCCTGATTATTACAAAAATAATTATGGGTTCTGTTATGCGTGTTGACTATGATATTAAGTTGTGGCATGCTATTAAATTTTCCAGATGATGCTAGATGTATTTGATTAACTCATGGCATCTGTAAAAACAATTCCTTTTGGTAGAACTTTGGAATGGAGCCTTTTTCTAGTGTATTATACGTCATTCGAATTTCATGCGCAAGCTGTTTTGTTGGGTTTTTTTTAGTAAAGGTTTGAATATTTGTAGTTTTCAGATGGTTAGTCTTACTTTCTAATATTTGTGTGACTACCATATATTTATCTTAAGGTAACTGGCTGAATATCTGATGTACGTGACACTTTTACACAGATCCACACTTTGGAAGTAATAGTTGTAATGCATTGATCACATTAATTCAAGCATATTGCCTGATCTATTTCAGCAACAATCCATGGAGGAAAGGTGAGTTGTATTTACTATGTCAGCAAGTAAAATACACTTAAAAATAACTGAGATATATTCTTGTAACAGTCTTATATCTGATTTGGGATAGTATGCTTTGTTTTATTTCTCTATTTAGTGTATTAATTTATTTCCAAATCTTTCAAAGTTTAAAAAAATTTTTTTAAGAGGATTGACTTTGCGTCTTGAAATTTCAGTTCAGTAAATAAGATAGCTTTTTGGTGACACTTGTAGAAAGAGTGAGGTAAGAGGAAAGTGAGGTGTGACCTTGGACTCCGCTGGAGACTGTTCTCTCCTTCTCCTCTTTGCCCAAGCAGTTTAGTTCAGTTCTGTGACAGGGAACATAGGAAACTGCTGGAAAAACCCTACAAAGATGCTGAATGAAGATGTTTAATTTGGGGTTGAAGGTATGCTGTTAAGTGTACTGTTAGTGGACACTGACTGGTTTTATGACTAATCTATGAAATGTATTTACTGAATTTGAAGATTAAATCCACTTATAAGAGCATATTTATATGATGGAAGAGGTATCAATGCTTGATAATTATTGATTATCAACTTGGGTGTGTGTGTTTGTGTTACGTTTATAAGTTTGTTTTTGTGGATTTTTTTTTTTTTTTTTTACTACTTTCTCTCCACTTGACCTGACTACTAGCACAATTGGCAGACCATCTCAAGGCTGCTGGGAATAGGGGCCACATCATATGCTTATAAATACTTAGGTTTTGATTGATTGATCGATAGCATTATCAGTACAGTTTATGATTTCTAATACTTTTGCCTGTCCACATGATAGCATGACATTTCTAATTAATGCAGTTGCTTCATAATGTTGTTGTCTTAGTCATAAAATGGTGAACCCTAAAGCCCACCATTTTACCACCTACCCAACCTCCAGAAAAATATGATTTCTAAGGTCTGTTATTTCCTATTCACAGACACAATAAGACAGAAAAAAAAAGACATTAAAATTTGTTTACTTCTCCAAATTGTTTTTCTTTGCAAAAGTTATCCATATTCATTAAACCATTCAGAAAGTATAAATGAGTAGAAAGAAATTTCATCCATAATTCCACCACTAGAATCAAGCAGTACATAAATAGTTCTAGTGGGTAACTTAAAGTTCTCAGTCACTCAGTCATGTCCGACTCTTTGTGAACCCATGGACTGTAGCCTGCCAGGCTCCTCTGTCCAAGGGATTCTCCAGGCCAGAATACTGGGTTGAGTTGCCATGCCCTCCTCCAGGGCATATTCCCCACCCAGGGATCAAACCCACCCACCTCTCTTCTGCCTCCTCCATTAGCAAGTGGGTTCTTTACCACTAGGGCCACCTGGGGACATTAGCTAACTTAAAGGGTCATACAGAAAAGTGCTTTGTAAACTCAGATTTTTACTTAATATGACAGCTTGAACAATTTCATGTCATTAGATATTTCAGAGATTATCAACACTCTCAATAGCAGCCAAGCCCACGCATCTCAGACATGGGCCCGCCTGGTCTGTGTTAGAGTCTCTGATTCTGGAGATCCTGCTGTTTCTGAGTCAGTTTGCTGTTCTCCATGTGGATATATTTTATTTATTTATTTATTTTCATGTGGATATATTTTAAAATGGAGAAATAACAAGGAATGTCCACCCTAGGTTATGGTCTTCCCAGGTGGCTCAGTGGTAAAGAATCTGCCAATGTAGGAGATGCAAGAGGTGGGTTTGATCCCTGGGTCAGGAAGATCCCCTGGAAGAGGAAATCTTGCAAGGGAAGTATTCTTGCAGGGGAAATCCCATGGACAGAGGAGCCTGGTGGGCTACAGTCCATGGGGTTGCAGAGAGTTGGACACAGCTGGGCGACTGAGCACATACCCTAGGTTACTGAGTCAAATAATTGTGGACAATTGCAAATCGTATTAATAAAGTAATAAAGAATACTTTCTAGACTTCCACCGGATGAAAGTCCAGACAAGATTAACAACAGGCTGACTCCCAATTCTTGAGCACTCCCTGGGTGCCACTACCCATTCCTACGCCGTTTGGTGGTGTCACTCCCTTGGGGAGCTGAGGGGCTGAAATTGAGAAGGTGTGGAAGTCACCCAAGGCCACTCTGTGAGGAAGGACTGGAGATGGTTCTCTAGGTGTTTGCACAGCGTGCTCTTTCTATGACACCTCTTGGCTTCTCCCTAATAATGGAAGGAAAATATTTTGGACATATTTGAATGAAAACAGAAAGGTTTCTGTGAGTGATTAGGGTTGCATGTTGGATCTGTTGCATGAACGAAGAAGCACGGAGTGAGCTACTTTGAAATCCTCCCCTGACCAGCCCCTCTGCTGCAGGCTTTGGGCTCCAGGCACTAAACGGGCTGCTTCAGAGGTCAAGGGTCCCAGGGCACGCTCGATGACATCGGTGACCTAAACTCTGTGTGAGGCTGTAGGAGTCTGAAGCCACTGGAGTGGCTTATGCCACCCTGAGTGCAAACTAGAAAGCCCAGGATGAGAAAGCAGAGGCCGCCTTGCAGAAGTGTCTTTCTTGCCTTATCTTTAGAGGCCGCCGCCTTGCAGAAGTATCTTTCTTGCCTTATCTTTGGAGGCCATTGCTCATGGTGGGGCTTCCCCGGTGGCTCAGCTGGTTAAGAATCAGCCTGCCAATGCAGGAGACACAAGAGATACAGGTTTGATCCCTGGATCAGGAAGGTCCCCTGGAGTAGAAAGTGGCAACCCACTCCAATACTCTTACCTGGAGAATTCCATGGACAGAAGAGCCTGGCGGGCTACTATCTATGGGGTTGCAAAAGATTCGGATACAGCTTAGTGACTAAACAACAGCAACA